GTATTTTCTGGCAGATAGTCCATATTCATATTTCCCTAATTGTTATCACAGTATCTTTTATATTCTGCCCAGTCTTACTCACATTGCCAAAGGCTCAGACATTGTTGTTGGTTGCCATATATTTGCTTCTTTAATACACATCTATCCTTACTTTGAAATAATTTCTTTTCCCTTTTATGGTATTGACTTCTTTTTTGTTTTTGGTGTAGTACCAGGGCTTGAACTTAGCCTTATACTCTGACTTGATTTTCTGGCTCATGGCTGGCACTCTTAGCACTTGAGTCACATGCCACAAGTCACCAATTTTCTGGTTGGAGATGGAGTCCTACAGACTTTTCTGTCTGAGCTGGCTTTGAACTGTGATCTTCCAGATGTTGGCCTCTTTAGTAGCTAGTATTACAGGTTTGAACCATTGACTCCTGGCATTATGACATTGATTCTCTAAAGAGATGAGGCCAGTTGTCCTAGGATATTCTCTTCTGGATTTTTATTTCCTGCCTTGCTTTGGTATCATTTAACATATTTCTGTATTCTATTTCCTGTGAAGTAGAAATTGGTTCTAAAGACTTGATTTAGGATGGAGTTAACTTTTGGTAAGAATAATTCATAGGTGATACTTAGGTTTTTGAAGTTTCGTTTTTTTTATGATGGGTGGATGTCAGTTTTAGGCAGTGCTTCCTGGTTTATAAAGTGCTTTCACCAGTTTTCCCTGGCAGTATTATTATTATTAACTTTTTAAATGGTTATTATAAAGGTAACGTACAAAGAGTTTGCCGTTTCATAAGTCAGCAATGACTTACAAATGACTTACATTTCTTCTTGAACAACGCTACCTCTTCCCTTCTTCTTTCCCAGTTTTTCCCAGTCCCCACCCACAAGTTTGTATGGTTCATTTTCAACATAATATCTACTGGCACTGTGCATTTATTCATTTTTTTGTCCCTCCATTTCCCTTCCTTCCTTCCTTCCTTCCTTCCTTCCTTCCTTCCTTCCTTCCTTCCTTTCTTTCTTTCTTTCTTTCTTTCTTTCTTTCTTTCTTTCT